CCCCATCCTTTTCTTAAGACAGCATGCAAAACAGGTCAATTTCTAACCCAGTGTGTCATAAAATGAAGTTTAAAAAGATACTCAATTACCTAGGGATTTTCATTTTTTTCGTGGTGCCCTTATAAATATCCTCTAGCGATACCGGTAGTTCGTGTTGTACACCGGATCTTACCCACGACCGCCTAAACCAAATGGCATTCCTGCAAAATCTTCGAATTTTTTTACCTCCGTAGCTTTACAGAAAAAGAAAAATTTTGATCAAAAAATACCAGTAGAAAACAGAAATTTAGTATTTTCAGGATTTAATTTCAAGAAAATAATAATGAGCTGAATAAAAATCACAGTTTTGCTAAAAATTTCGTAAAAAATCAAGAACCAATCCGCAAATTTTGGGCAGTTTCTACACTGCTGAAAGTGGCAAAGGGCAATAATTTCAGTATACTACACAAATGCTACCGTAGTTACTACCTCTTGTGCTAGAGCAAACAGATTTGACCGTCTTAATTTTACTGATTCATCTACACAAAACACTAATGGTGGCAAAAAAGCATTAGAATCTACTCGAACAATTTGAAGATTCTAATAAGACTAAAGTCCCGCGCTAAATCTAACCCCTCTTTTTGTGAATATACAGGTCATGTGAACATATTTCGAGCCCGCACTTCCTTTATCTCATTTTCAGTATCTTTCGGATCGTGATGTGTTATCTTGTGCAACTACACTGCTACGCGTGATCCAATGCAAAACTGATGTAGGATTGGATCACGTTTGCCGGGAGGTACAAAAAAAATCGGTACAGACGCATACACAGAGACGCGCACAAATACACACACCCAGGGAGACAACCCCTCATCAATATGCATTTTCTGCATTCTGTAGACGCAGAAAACGCATAAAAACTATATTTTCCCAAAAAAAAAAAAATCTTTTTTCGTCTGCAATAAAATAATAATAAATTCCTTTGCAACATAACCCAAAACCTCAATTTCACTGGGAAACTCAAAGCCAAAAAACAGCTCCAACACTTCGGTTAATAAGAATCGGAAATCTTCCGCAAATTTTAAAATCTGAATTTCTTATACCTAAACTTTGTTGTGTACAGGATTTGAGCGTTTCAGCTTCTCAAATTCTCGAGTTGTGAACTCACCGAAAAAAAATCGGCGGACCCGTACGTGGCTACCACGCTTATCTGGGGTATGGGATTCAGTGCATCAACACCGACTAGGATGGGGTACGTCACTGGAAGATTTGAGCGCTCTAGCTTCTCAAATTCCCGAGCTGTGAACTTAGAGAAGAAAAAATTCGGCGAGCCCATACGCGGCTAACAAGCTTAACTGGGATATGGGATTCAGTGCATCAACACCGACTAGGATGGGGAACATCACCTTATGGTTTCAGCGTTCTAGCTTCTCAAATTCCCGAGTTATGAACTCACCGAAAAAAAACCTTGGCGGGCGACTCCCACGCGTACCTGGGGATGGGTTTCTGTGCATCAACACAGACTTGGATGGGGAACATCATCTTGACATTTCAGCGTTCCAGCTTCTCAAATTTCCGAGTTATGAACCCACCGAAAAAAACTTTGGCGAGCCCGTACGCGGCTACCAGTGCTTACCTGGGGATGGGATTCAGTGCATCAATACAATCATGGATGCGGAACATCACCTTACGGTTTTAGCGTTCTAGCTTCTCAAATTACCGAGTTATAAACTCACCGAAAGAAAATTTGGCGGGCCCGTCCGCGGATATTGCGCTTACCTGGGGGATGGGTTTCAGTGCATCAACACCTACTTGCATGGGGAGCATCACCCTAGGATTTGAGCGTTCCATTTTCTCAAATTCCCGAGTTATGAACGCACCGAGAAGAAAATTCGACGAGCTCATACGCGGCTACCACGCTTACCTGGGGTATGGGATTCAGTGCATCAACACCGACTAGGATGCGGAACATCACAGTAAGATTTGAGCGTTCTAGCTTCTCAAACTCGTCTTATGAACTCACCGAAAAAAAAAAATTGACGGGCCCGTACGCGGCTACTGCGCTTACCTGGAGGATGGGTTTCTGTGGATCAACACAGACTTGGATGGGAAACATCACCCTGAGATTTCAGCGTTCTAGCTTCTCGAATCCTCGAGCTATGAACCCACCGAAAAAAATTTTGGTGGGCCCGTACGCTGTTACCAGTGAGTACCTGGGGGATGGGATTCGGAGAATCAACAGCAACTTGGATGGTGAACATCACCCTAGGATTTGAGCTTTCTAGCGTCTCAAATTCCTAAGTTATGAACTCACCGAAAAAAATTTGGCGGGCCCGTGAGCTGCTACCAGTGCTTAGCTGGGGGGTGGGATTCAGAGCACCAACACCACGATTTTATCCGAAAGATTTTAGCGGACCCGTACGCGGGTACCACGCTTGTGCGGCGGGTGGTTTTCAGTGCTTTAACATCTACTTGGACAGGGGACATCTGTCTAAGATTTCAGCGCTCTAGCTTCTAAGGTTCCCTAGTTATGAACTTGTGCCAAAAAAACTTTGGAGTTCCCGCACGCAGGTACCACGCTTACCCGGGGATGGGTTTCAGTGCATTAACACCTAGTTGGACGAGGAACATCGTCCTAAGATTTCAGCGCTCTGTCTTCTCAGATTCCCGAGTTTGGACATATGCCAAAAAATTTTTGGCGTTCCCGTACGCGTCTACCACGCTTTCCGTGAGATAGCTTTCAGTGCATCAACATCTACTTGGATGGGGAACATCCTCCTAAGATTTCAGCGCTCACGCTTGTCAGATCACCGAGTTATGAACTTATCCTAAAGAAATTTCGCGCACCCGTAAGCGAATGTCACGCGTGTACGGCGGATAGGTTTCAGTGCATTAACATCTACTTGGACGGGGGACATATCTTAAAGATTTCAGCATTCTAGCTTCGCAGATCCCCGAGTTATGAACTTACTCAGAAAAAATTTTGGCGAGCCCGGACGCGGGTGATGGCGCCCATTTTGGGGGCTGGTGTCCGTACGTGCATGCAGATTATGTTCCCGATACTTCAGGCCCGCAGCTTTTATAGGTTTTGAGATGAAAGTGGGTGGCAGACACACACACAGAGACAAGGACAGACAGACAGCCTCTCGTCAATACGTGTTTTTGCATTGCATATGTGCAAAAGTACGCACAAAAAAATATTTAATAACCGTTTTACAGGTATTTTAATTGGTATGTTTTCCAGCATTTCCATTTTTCCACTGTTTTCGTTCATGCATTATCTCCTTTCTGTGTCACTGTCGGCTTATAAGACCACACTGATACAATTTTTATACGAAACTAAATAAATGTGAAAACATTATGTACAGACAATTATTAAGAGAATCAAAATAATCGACCGGATTGTTGATATCTGAAGTTTCACTGGGATGCATTTACACCGAATGTAGCTACGACGCCAGGCTATTCGGTCTTAAGTTGAATATCACTTGTGTGTAGACCGCCTAACTGATTGTTTCAGCTTTTGAAAGCGGACAAGCAAAAAAAAAAAAAAGAATTTCAGCTTAATAAAGACTAAGCTGAAATTCTTTTTAGCTTAATAAAGACTTAATAAAGACTAAATTTCCACTTAACCTTAAATAAAATAATTGCAAAATAATACTCCACTGAGAAGTATAATGTTTGGAATATCTCAATAATTCTCAAATATGTAGCTAAAAAGCTTGTCTCTTTGCGATTTTTATGCATTTTTGCATATATGCAAATGCGAAAACGCATATTGCGACGACCCGGTGTGCGTGTGTGTATGTGTGTGTCTGTCTGTCTGTCTGTCTGTCTATCCGGCTATTTCAACTCGGCACCCAAGCACGCTCCGGCGCCAAAATTTTGCGAGTGAGTTCCTCGGCCAAGTGCCACCCCAGGACCGCAGTACCAATCCTCACGCACGTCTAGGCCCCATGTACGAGCGCCTCAAAGTTTTGGCGGGAAAATCGCTAACTTGAAAACCAGAAAAGCTGGAAATCAGAAATTTTGAGATTATGTTCTCCGTCCATATAGAACTCAAACATTTTAAATTCAGCCCTCAGGTGTGCGCGTTTTCCGCGTACGGCCCCGTGAGGGTTCCTGGAGCGAAAATCGCTAGCTCGGGAACCAAGAAAGCTAGGGGGCTGAAACTTTCAGCGAATGTTCCTAGTTCATCTGCAACTTAAATTTTCATATCCAGCCTCCCATTATGCGTGGTTACCACGTACGGTCCCGTGGAAGTTTTCGGCGAGGAAATGGCTAAGTCCGGAACCAGGGAAGCTGGGAGGCTGGAACTTTCAGGAAATGTTCCTAGCTCATCTACTTCTTAAATTTATCAAAGCCAGCTCCTAGTCTTGCGTGGTTGCCACGTATGGCCCCGTGAAATTTTCTGGATGGAATCTAGGTAACTCGGGAACTGGGGAAGCTGGGTACCTGGGATTTCAAGGGAATATTCCCCATCCAAGTATAGCGTGGACAATTAACTTCCCAGAATTCGAAGACCAGTATGTTAGAGGTCTCAGCTAGCGGAATTTCGAATAATCTTACAACACGAAGCACTGCAAAAACGCATGATCGCACGGGCCCGCCCAGTGCGTGTCGCCAATGATTTGATTCATTTCGACAGTAAATGGCATTCAAGCGCTCCCAGATTAGGCAGTTGATCCTCAAACACAGGAGAGGAAAGCTTTTCGAATAATGTTGGCAAACAGCACTTAGTCAAACTACCTGCGTGAGTCTCCTTACATAGCGGGTGTGAAATACAGATCTTAAAATTGAGCTGAAATGGCAGAATAGAAGGATTGGACTAAGTGTAATGCATAAAACGACATTTTAGGGCGCAGTCTGAGTTTCATCCCTTAGCTGTAATCGACCGCCAGACGTGCCTTTGCAGTGATACGGATAAACACTGTCTTAATGAAATTCCAGCATTACAATAACTGTATATGGGATCTGCTCGCACTAACTATTCTACTAGCTAATCTGAATGAGCCTCCCTGCATCAGGAACGCGGAGTGGCGGGAGTAGTGGGAATCTCCGTCTTTTGCTGATAATACTTAGAAACGTAATTTGCAGTTCCGTCTTCATGGTTCTTTCGACTTTCATTTGATACGTCACCAAAATCAATCACCGTTTTCCCTCGACCTTTCTTTTTTTGGACTTTCTCATAAGCTGCCGGAAGTTGGTCGTAATTGAAAATTTCGTCGATTACTGGTTTTATCTGAAAGCTTAAATAATGGCCCAAAGAATTATAAAAATTTTTAAAGTCAGAGAATTATGGATGGGAATTTAGTCACTGATTTTCATCTCATAAACAGTTGTGGGCATTCTGCTTGCGCGGTAAATCGCTTCCATATTACATTACTATAAAATGGGGAGTCTGAATTTAACGTGTAAACATGCTGGAACTATGTATAAAAAAGCAGCCAGGCTGATAAGGAAACAACTCTTTTTAAGCTAAAAAATTCTAAACTTTATCAGAAATTTTCCGGTCTTCACAAAAAAGCATGCCCCTGAGCGATTAGAGTCGGTCTTATGCTGTGGGTCGAAAGTTAGGCAGTGCCAGTGAAAAAGTCAGTCTTTTTGCCATTCATTCATTCGTTTCGCTGGCAAATTAGTACTGTGCCAAGAATCATCATCACAATCACCTTGTCAAGGGGAGATTACTGCTTTTAGCACGACTTACCATGTCGGCCATTTCCTAGTGCCTTCGTTCATCAAAAAATAAGAAAGAATTTTGATTCTGGTTCGGGTCCTAAGATTAAATTTTATATCTCAGGTTGGGGAAGTGAAAAATAAAAATAGGCACTTTCATTCGTGTCTGCATCTCACATAAATTAAATTATTGAGCGTAATTTGTCATAACTGTCATTTGAATGATTATATAACGTGCATGATGTGTTAGCTAACCTTGCCAGTGCGCAGATGGTCCGAAATTTGTTCCATACATTGCGAACTGGGAGCAAAATAAGCATACGTAAACCACTGGCCACGCTGAACTGCCGGCTGCAAAACGACGAACTGGTAATAATAAATCAGTCACAGTAAAGCCAAAAATACTTATATTTTGAATAGATTTTGTTTCATCGTGGCGTACACGTTCAAAATCCTTCTCATGGCTGCTTTAGTCGAAACTCCAATCCCTTGCGATCAGATAACCAGGACACTTAAGGTCCGTTTTTAGATACCTTCCACCTTTTATGATTAATTTCACAAAAGGGCTTACCAGAAAGGCGCGTAACAGCTGTTTCGCAGCAGTTGAAGCTATGCCAACCGGAATGCCATATCTAAAATTTCAAAAAAAAAGTAAATTAGGCGGGAAATTGAATTTACTTCTACTCGCAGTTTGGTTCTCCATTTATGCAGCTGGCAACTTTTCCACTTGCTTTGGCCAATGCAATTGGAAAAGTTGCCAGCAGAATACCACTCCCAGCTGACTATTTTGCACTGTTTCTGTTTATTTTTCAGAAATTTTTCTACTAGACCTAGATTTATCCAATGAATGCCGCCCTGCTCGATTTAGCGAAAACTGATAAAGAATCGCGAATATAAGGCACTTCCACAAATAAAAAGTACCACCTAATCGTGATCTAAAAGTCATAACATTCAGAAGGCTGTGATGCTCAACAAACACCAAGATCAGCCTGGAATTGCTAAAGCCCCACCAACTGCTTTTGATAGGAGAACTCTTCAGCTGGTAATCACTTCAGGAGACGAAATGAATGTTAGGATTGCCGGAAGACTAATAAAAAGGCGAACTAGCAATGCTCGAAGCAACTGGAAAATTGACAGTTGCATCGTTGGAGAAATAGATTACAGATGAGAACACATCAAAGCGTTCCAAGCAAAACTCGAACCTATCCGTATCACCGAGTAGGGGGCTGACAAGAGATACGTGGACGCAATTGCGCCATAATCCCATTACTTTATCACTCCACTGTGCCAATTCGGAGTCTGCACAATCCAAAATTACGTCGAACGGTCCTTCGGCGATCAGCTGTTCAAGAGCTAAAGGACTTTTGTAATTGATCGGTACAGCTCCAAGCTGTCGTATCGTGTGGAAGCTGGAATGCAATGAAAAAATTAAGTCAACACGGATCAGTTTTTCCCCACTTTTCCTTTTCTCTTCATATTTCATTCTACATTAATGACGAGAATACTGGGAATATGCCCAAATAATTGCACCTTACTAAAAAAGACTATCTTTCGTCAATTGAAAACCTCGAGTATCACTGGAAAAGAAATAGGGCAAAGCATTATGGTGATGGCTCTGTTACTGAAATTAGGCGCTTTTTCCCAAGCAAAACCCCAGAATTATGGATGCCCCAGCTACAAAAAGAAAGCTACGGCCTCCCAGCTGAACACTTCACCCGGACATGTTCACACAGTGCAGCAAAGATTTCAGCTCTTGGTTGATCAATCTGGCTAAAAAGTCCTACAAAGTCCGGTAATTCCTGCTGGCCTTAGTCTAGTCCTGCAGCAGCAAGTTAAATCTTTTGATTTCTTCAGTAACTTTTTCTAAATCAGATCTTTTCACTTTTCCAGTACTTTTTTTACATCTAACACAAGGCAATGAAATTAACTCACCAGTCCTCGGAACAGGTTGCCACTACTTTCTGCACGTTCCAAGCTCGAAGCATCTGGATTGCTGTTGTCCCAACACCGCCGGCACCACCATGTATCAGTACACGCTGCGACGGAGCATTTGATGGCTTTATTCGGGCGATCTGAAGAAAAATTCGCCAATTCTAATTGTCTCTGACAGAGACCATGTGAGCTTATCTGAAGCATCCTTCGCTTCATCGCTCCTTGGCTTCCGTCACTGGTCACCTTAAAAGGTCTTTTCACAAATGTCTGGTGATATTCCACGGAGGTGTTATGTGGAAAACATGCATAAATCAGATAGTACACGCATTGAAGAAATTTTACCGTAACAAGTGCTGACCAGGCAGAACAAGCAGCATATGGCAATGCAGCAGCTTCAATGTGCGACACATTGGGTGGTTTTCGAGCACAGGCTGATTCGTCCACTAGCGCAAATTCAGCATGCGATCCCGGGCTGAATGGATCAATCACCGCAATCACCTAAAATCAAATTCGTGCTGTATAAACCAAAAATACCGAGTCTACTCGGGCTATCAGCAGGGTGATGTTACTAGGATGCTCCCTCACGCTGAGCGCAGCTACGCCAGTGCTGCAAAACTGGTTCAGGAAATGTCTCGACGGAACTCCATGCAGAATCTAACCTCATCGCCTTTCCGGAATCTATTGACATTTCCTCCAGTCTGTTCAACCACTCCGCTGCAATCTCGTCCACCGATAAAAGGCAACACTGCTGGCATTGGTTTGAGTGAACAGTTCCGTAACTGCCTCATCGCTATTGAAATTTGATTCCCATAGCCATTGCGCATTGCGGTATCAATTGGATTCACGCTAGCGGCCTGAAAATTTATGTTCGAACTTTATCCACTGTACAAATTTGATAGATTAGAACGCTCTAATTTGGTTATACTTCCGAAATTTTGATGTAAATCAAGGCCAAAATTCTCAAACATTTTCAGAAGTCAGAACCCTTCCAAAATGGTCCTCTATGAGAAGCGAAACACCCAAAATAATCCGAGCGGTAGCAAATACCAGCAGCAACAACCCACTGACACAGATCTCTAATTCCTTAGCATGCACGAATACCAATTCCATCAAAGATCAATCAGTCCTAGAAGGATTGGTTTTCACTTTGGCAGATGCAAATATTCACTTGGACCCAAAAATTTCGCTATACGCAAATGGCATGTTAGCGAAGAAAGAAAACATACATGATTCAACTCAATGAAATGAGACAACTTGGTTTTGTAGGAGAAAAATAATTTTTATACTTTGACTTGAAGCAAAAGCTGGTTTGGTTTAGTGATTATTGGTACCGGCAAAATCGACTTCTCCATTTCTTCGCCGAAACGTGCCGTAATCCAGGTCGACATTGCCCGAAGCATACGGCATCCCTTCATCAAAATATTTCCGGCGCCCAGTACTCCGACCGAACGCTGCATTCTTCCTGAAAGGTAAATTTAATTCATAATACGTATCCTAGGAATCTAGGACGAAGCAGATTTCAGCAATCTACAACGAAAATGATCTTAGGAATAGAGTATGGATCGAAACAGATCCTACGAATAACCAGATGAAGTAAGCCCACTGTATCTCCGAACAAGTACGTTGATGTAGAACAAAGTGTGCATGATAATTATTCGGCTAGAGACCGAACTGACTTTAAAACACAAAGGATTTCATCAACAAATATATTTATTAAGTACATAATTAAGCGAAAAATCAACAAGATCTACAATCTGTGCTGGAACCACAAATTTTACACGATTTTGAACAGTCTATTCTAAAACAAACAAAGTAATAATGCACCGAGTCACAGTGAGGGGAATTGAGAAGGAATAATTTGCAAAAATCTAGCACGAGTGACTGAATATATTTAATAGTGGCCTGTGGTCAAAACACATACGGCTAGCTCGAACTGTTATGTGAAATTATGTGGATGAGAGAAGCCCAAAATAGAAAAGATTGAAAAAGCTCCAAACTGCATTAATGACGAGAAGAAACTGCTCATCAAAGTACCCCAGATACTGATCAAAATACCAAACTGCTGCTCAAAACATGCAAGAGAAGAAAGATTTTTTTTTCGAAAGGGTACCATCTTTATATCGCAGAAGCACCACCCGTTTTTTAAAGTGAAAATCCTTCAACTTTAAAATAAAAATTTAACAGTGGCCACATACAATAACTGCTGCGAAACATAAAAAACACACTAAAAAATCTATGTGAAAATGATAAAACAATGTCACACATGTTCACTAAAATCAATTTCTTCCGTACAAAAAATTCCACGAAATTCCTTATTAAGCAGTGCATCCAGTGACAAATTCTCACGAGTACTTATCCATTTCCTGTCCACTAAATCAAACCTAAATGAAAGAAATTATTCTTTGCTTCAAAAAAAAGCAAACTGCAAAACTTTTACTCTTCCCCCCCCCCCCCCCCCCCCCCCCCCCCCCCC